CCTAGCCTGCCCTAGCATTAGCATTTACCTAGCATTGCTAATGCTATTGCCATCACTACTAATCGCGTCCATATCGTCTTAATAAGGACACTAACTGTATAGTTTGATTTTCACATATTGCTCAAATCTCAAATTAAATTTTTCTGGGATCTGTTACGAGAAAGTGCAAAATATCGATCGGATGGTATAATAAATTTAACAGGGAATCTACACAAGTGACACGCCCATCCAGAAGAGTGACGTCAGCCAATTGTCTAAGCTCCAGTAGCTTTTTTCCGCCTCGAACGACTTCTTCGGTGCAGCAATCCAGTTTGAAGCTTTAAACAGCAGAGACGGCCTACTTATTTCTCGTTATTTGTTTCTCTGTCTATCTTTGCAGCGTTCAAACAAGAGCTTCTTTTTAGTAATTATGGGGAAGTCTAATGCGCCTCCGCAATGGACAGGGAAATCCATTTGCAAGTTATCGCTACACAGGCGCCGCGTAAATCCCATGAATCTAGGCTACGGTCTTGAACATCTACCGTTCCTGTTTCTCTACGCATTCTCATTGTACCATTGTTATTTAACGGTTGGTGAACCCTATGCTCAGGCCATAAGGGAACGAGAGGAACAAGGACTAGCTGTCCCTAGCTCTACAGATGTCACTATACCGGGGGAGGACGGAGGCCTTGCTGCAGCTATGTTGTCTCAAGGAATTGTTCGAGAAGTGTCGCTCGCTGCGCCTTCTATCAACGATACAGTCATTCTGCAGGAAGAAAATGAAAGTGCTCCATTGCCGAACCCTTTTTTACCTGGTATTTTGCCACTGCTGTATCTTTTGGGCACAATCATGGCGCATGGCCTCTTGCTACTGTTCCAGGTTTGGTCCGTCCGCTTCAAGGCGTTCATTAGGTACACATCCGTGTCTTGCCTTGACGACGCGACTTTTGTTATGGTGGTACCACGCTCTTTTAAAGGCAAAAGTAGCATCGTGGAGATTGTTCGACCAAAGCACACGGATGGAACGTCTGCTGGGCGACCGTACTTTGTGTTTCAAAAGCACAAGTATATTGCAGAAGAAGAAGAAGGAGACAAAGGAAATGTGATGTTTCGAAAGTTGAAAGCTCCGACGACGGAAACTATCAAGTTTTACCTGGAATCGTGTGGGCTGCGCTCCGAACAGGAGATCGAAGCCCAGCTGGATATTTACGGCAAGAATGAATTTAGCATCCCACAACCAAATTTTGTTGACATGTTCAAGCAGCAATTGCTCGAGCCATTGACAGTGTTCCAGATCTTTAGTGTTTGTCTCTATATGCTCGATGAGTACTGGCAGTACTCGCTCTTTACGCTTGCGATGATTCTAATGTTTGAAGGTGTCACAGTCATGAGTCGTCTCAAAAATCTTCAAACGTTGCGTGGAATGGGCAATACTGCACATGAAATATATGTTTATCGCAAGAAGACATGGAAGAAGTTAAAGTCGGATTTAGTGGTACCAGGTGACATTATATCCATCAAGCGGGAAACTATCGGCGACCAAATTAACATGGTTCCATGCGACTGCTTGCTGCTGGATGGCACTGCTGTCTTGAACGAGGCTACGTTGACAGGCGAGAGTGTGCCACAGATGAAGGAAGCGATTGGCTCCAAGATGAGTCGTGAGGATCTGGCAGAGCAATTGGACATGAAGTCTGGTCACAAGGTTCACGTACTTTTTGGTGGAACAACCGTGATGCAGGCTGATACATCGGCTGAAGGTAACTCAGGGTCGGTTTCAATTCCACATGCTCCAGACCATGGATGCACTGCATACGTTCTGCGCACTGGCTTCAGCTCGTCGCAAGGCAAGCTGGTACGTATGATCGAATTCTCTAGCGGAAAAGTAACGGGAAGCTCGTGGGATGCTTATGGTCTCGCGTTCCTGTTGCTTATATTTGCCCTACTCTCGTCAGGTTATGTACTACGCCACGGAATTGAACAGAAGGGAAAAATCACGTTTGAATTGCTTTTGCGCTGTGTGCTCATCATTACGAGCGTAATTCCTGCGGAACTGCCAATGCAGACAGCGATGGCAGTAAATTCGGCTTTGTTAAACTTGGTCAAATTGTCGATTTTTTGTACTGAGCCATTCCGAATTTCGCTGGCTGGCAAAGTGGACATTTGCTTGTTTGATAAGACTGGTACATTGACCACAGACCAGCTCACGGCCGTTGGCGTTGTGTGCGAAGACACGACGGTGCCTACTGCTGCTACGCCAAAGAATAATGTACTTGGTCACGTGCCGATGATTGCGGCCAATTTAGATGCTACTCTAGTCCTAGCTGGCTGCCAGTCGCTGGTTCAGATTGATGGGAAGATGGTTGGTGACCCAGTGGAGGAGGCCTCAATTCGTGCCATTGACTTTACATATGATGCTTCAACGCGCTACTGCCAGGCAAAAAAGGACTTAGAGCGTGCGGGTGAGCGTCGTTGGGGACAGGGTATAAATCAGAAGGATGTATTTGTCCAAATCATGCATCGAAACCATTTTGTATCGAAGCTGCAGCGCATGAGTGTGGTTGCTAAAGTGCATCTTGGTAACAAGGGCGTGCGCGTGCGATCGCTCGTGAAGGGAAGCCCAGAGGCCATCGAAAAGCTATTGCGTCCTGATAGCATACCAGTGTGGTTTTGGCCGACATACCAAAACCTTGCTCGTCGTGGTATGCGTGTACTTGCCCTCGCGTACAAAGACATTGGTGGCAGACACTCAGAGTCTGAGGTTGCTCAGCAGCCGCGCTCTTGGGCTGAAAGTGATTTACTATTTGCTGGATTTGCTGTATTTCAGTGCTTGGTTCGCAAGGATAGTGGCGAGATTATTCAAGTGTTGAAGGACAGCTCGCACCAAGTTTCGATGATCACGGGCGATGCGACGCTGACTGCGGTGCACGTCTCAAAGGAAGTTGGCATCATCACCCGTCCGGCCTTGATACTGAGTGAGAGTTCGTCACGCGGTGACCCTTTAAAGTGGACGAGTGCTGTGGATGACTCGGTAATAGCACCGTATAAGAGTGGTGACATTGGTGTTCTTGTCAGAAAGTATGATCTGTGCGTGAATGGCAAGACGCTCGTTGCTGCAGGCGAAAGGGACGATGTAATCTGGAAAAACTTGAATAATATTCGAGTGTATGCTCGCATGACCCCCGAATTAAAAGAACAAGTGTTGACTTTGTTGAAGACGCATGGCCATCATACACTTATGTGTGGCGATGGTGGTAACGATGTGGGTGCCTTAAAACAAGCACATATTGGTGTGGCATTACTGGGTGGTTTTGGATCGGCAAATGCAGACAAGAGTGTGACGGGTTTAGCCAAGTACCAGAAGGGGAATGTGGCTGCAGTTAGCACACGCGATGACCTGATGAAACTGCACGTATCGGCGCTAAAGAAGCGTTTGGAACAGCAAAATGTGAATTCGGCTCAATGCAAGGTTAAGCAGGATTATGTTGAGCTCATTCTTAGCGAGCAAAAGAAGAAAAGTATGGAGGCAATTAAAAAAAAGCAGCAAGCGTTAGCAAAGAAGAACCCGAAACTAAAAATCCTGACGAAGGAAGAGCAACAGGCTGAAATGAAAAAGAAGCAGGAAGATCTAGAGGCTGATGTGCGTGCGCGTCAGGCTCGCGGTGAATCGTTTGCGCGGATGAAAGCAATCGCGGCGTTCGCAAAGCGCGAAGCTGAGGAAAAGAGAAAGCTGCAAATGGAACGCACGGGCTCTAAGGGATTTGCTAACTTTGCCAATAATGCTGCCATGGCGCAGTATATGGACGACTTTGATGATGGAGAGTTGCCAATGGTGAAGCTTGGTGACGCGTCAATTGCTTCTCCTTTTACATCACGCGCTCCGTCAATTAAAGGCTGCGTGGACATTATCCGCCAAGGTCGTTGTGCGCTTGTGACAACAATGCAAATGTATCAGATTCTGGCTGTTAATTGCCTCATCAGCTCATATTCGCTGTCTGTACTTTATCTCGATAAGGTAAAGTGGGCCAACTCTCAAATGATGGCACTGGGCATGATCTCGACCGTTGCCAGTATTACATTGAGCCGAGCGACTCCACTTGACAAGCTGTCTCCTGTGCGTCCACTGACGTCGATCTTCCAACCCGCGCTTTTTATGAGTCTTGCTGGCCAGTTCTTGCTGCACTTAGGATGTATGATCTACCTTACAAATCTTGCCAAGGAATACACACCCCAAGGTGATACCACCCACTCGAAGCCTGGGGATTTTCAGCCAAATGTAATGAGCACAGTCATTTTTCTGATCAATGGCGTGCAGACTGTCAGTGTATGCGCGGTGAATTACAAGGGTCGACCATTTATGAAGCCCATGACGGAGAACCCAGGTCTACTTTACTCACTCGGCATCAGCATCGTTGGAGTCTTTTTGCTTTGCACAGAACGGATGCCTGTCTTAAACAAAGTGTTACAGATTGTGCCAATGCCAGACCAGCGATTCACGCGCATCCTCACTGGTCTGCTCACTCTTGAAGTGCTTGGTGCTTTTGCGTGGGACCAATTTTGTTTGCTCATGTTTGCGCCTAAGATCTTTCTTGCCTCCATACGTGCCTTGACGTTCAAAGATGTGCGGCAACTTCTTAAAATGACAGCCATATCGCTGGTAATCATTTACATTCTCGCCAACATCGACTACGATGAAATTGAGCGCCAACAGCAGCTTTTAGAAGCGCAGCGTGCTCACGAAGTCAGTAGCTAGAGCAAAGCACCAACAGTTCCATTTTCTATCCTATGAAGGAAAAACATTAGATCTTTAATTTGGCTAACAACATTGTCGTGTCTAGTAAAGGGTTTAAACTAAAGCTAATCTAAAAGCTGGTAAAGCTAGGATACTACTATTGCTTAGTTGAGTAATCGAGATCCCGTGCTTGGTGGCCTGACCAGTGCAGCAACTGACACAATGGCGTTGGTGCGAACTGTGTCGGCATATGATAACACAAGGCGAAATAGCCATTCTCTAGTGCAGCAACTACTCGAGCTAGCGCAAATGCTCCTGCTGCCGCATTATGCTGTCCGTTCTTGTACACTGGGTCGTCAATTACAAGCTGCGGCATGAGAGGCAAACCGTTCGTGATCGACAGATGTGCTGCAAGTGGATACGCACCAAACGCTTCTGGTTTTAACGAGAGTCCAGTTGTGAAGTAATCAAATGATGTCCCGTAATACTCCAAAAAATCGAGTAACAACTGTCCAGTTTTCTGCGCTATTTCATCTTCTGACGTGTCATCTCTGTAATCATTATATTCATTTTCTTCCTTCTGATGTCTCTGCATTTCCATCAGAAACACTGCTAACAATGTCACTGCGTACGAGCTCAATCCACCCGTGAAAGCACTATTTAATGCCTTTTCTCTCAAAAACTGCCGCAATACCATTACAAGCGGTTTGAGACCGTGTAAATCGGTAACATATTGACGCACTAACTTGCTAGCCTCAATTCCATGGCTGGTTTGGACATTTTCGATTGAAATATCTACTCCAAGCAGCGCAGGGTTTCCTCCATCTTTCTGACTACCACGACGTAGCAGTACTTTCGCAACAGGAACTTTTGCACCTCTTACTACGTCTACGCGCTGCACCCAGCTCTTTTGCGGCCGCAGCTGTCGTGCTAATTGTTCGAGTTCTTTTACTCCATCGGGTATGTACCTCGTCGGAACGTCTCGGTCTTTTTCGTTTGATAACCCCATGACCACTACATCCACATCACTAGATGGAAGCCAAAGACCTGTAGAATACGAGCCAAAGCACGTGACAGTCGCGTGTGGCCAGATCTTGCGCACACCCTCAACTATATGCGCAATGGCTGCGTCAATGTGTTGGCGCGCAGCGTCCACCACACGCTGTGTGTAGGCACAGTAACGCATCATCTCTTGACCTAAACGTAGAGCTACAGGTCTCGACTTATCATTAATATCTCGGAATACGGCGGCGTCATGCGGATTGGTGGACGGTAACGTGGGCAGCCACGGCGGAAGACGACGCAGACGACTACGACTGATGGCTGCAACACGCGCTGCCTCATGTTCTCGAGCCAATGCATCACGCTCAGCTGCGGCTGCAATCTTTCGACGATTCAGTCGGTCCTTCTTGCGCTCCAACTTGCTGCGCCCTGAGGCGGCAGCTGGCATCATTGATTTGCGCACGTGATATTGTGTTTAATTTTTGTGATATAGAGCTGCAAAGTAATTAAACAAAACATATAGCTACGACTTGATTAATTCAGCAAAAATATATTTAAATGGACTTGACTAATAGCTGTACTTATGCGTTCATGAGCGGTGCGGGTGCGTACCCTCCGGAATATTGTGACTGGCTCGGATCAAACACGGGCGGCACAGCCGAGAAAGCTGGGTGTTGTGAGATGACATAGTAATTAAAAAAAGCGTTGAGAAAGAGCAATACGGCGTCCAAAATCGTCAACCAGAAATTGCCCATCGACAATGGCCAGATTGCAATACTGTCACACAAAGACATGTCAATTTCGTAAACTCGTCATAAATAGCAGTATCACTTGAACAAACATACAAGACCAAAAAGATCGTGCGCGTTCTGTTGCCATACATAAATCCAAAGTTCTTGCGCAGAACCACATCCACTTTTTCAGTGCGCAGCTCAAACGCCAGAAGCAATGCACCAAACAATCTGCAGCATAAAGACTCATAAAAATTCAAGGACAAGCTGCTTTGATCTGTTACTTACATGATGTAAATGCCCGCAATGATCTTTTGAAATGTGTCCACCTCGCCAAAAATCCAAGCGAGCACACCAACAGCGATAGTAGCTGAAGCAAGCACCAAATTTGATATCCGCATGACCTTGACAATCGTCTGACTATTCGTGGACTTGATTTGTGCACCAATTTCGTCCATAAAATTCTGGCGCGGGGCTGCCTGGTATGTAGATGGAACGGCACCCACAGGCGTCACAGGCGTGGGGGGCGCTACAGTCGAGAAATTTAGACCGGGAGAGACTGGCGGTTGAGCGCGCAGCACGGAAGGATCATGAAAAGGATTGTTGGGGTTCATGGTGACGAGCAAACGCTTCTGAAGTGAGCTTAAGAGTAGCAATGAAGGCGTCTATAGATAGTCAGAATATTTAATGCCGTTGTTATTTATATCTTCACATCCTTCAAAATAGAAATTGGATAAGATCAATATTAGTTTTTGTGCCCTACGTAAAATTGTGTTAACTAGAGCTATAAGCTATGGTTATCACTAAACGTGTACGCGGGAATCAAAAGGGTGAAGCCTTCGATGCAGCCGAAACACGATATGTTAATGAGTACAACGGTTTTGTAGTGCCCAACGACAATTATGCAATTAAACGCATTCCTGTTAGCAGCATGACGCCAGAACTCTTCTTCACTAACTACGTTTGTACCCGAACTCCTGTTGTGTTGACTGGGTATCTGGAAGATGAAACATTTACAGCATCAGAAAAATGGACGAAGTCAAACGATCGTCTCATCGAACTCATAGGTGACACTAAATTAACAGTTGAACGTCGTGGAGGTCTTCACGATAAATTTGGAAAGGGAATGGCAGTAGAAATGCCGTTTTGTGATCTGCTGAAGCTCATGGCATCAGGTGATGAATTTCACTACTTGACGACACAAGACGTGGCGTTTGAAGAGGATGGACGACCTGAAATAATGTCTTCGTTCATGAAAAAGCTCCAGTTAGACTTTCCCTTGCGTCCAAAGCTTATGGGGTACTTGATTCCACAAAATATCAACATGTGGATGGGTAACAGCAAACATGGATCTTCTTCTGGATTGCATCATGACCACCACGACAACTTGTACATTCTTATGCGCGGCAAGAAGCACTTTCGTATGTATTCTCCGAGCGATGCTTTTAAAATGTACACTCAAGAACAAATAGCAAACGTGCATCCAAATGGATTAATTAACTATGTTGGAAAGGAGACAACACATTATGGTGCTGACCCAGTCGCTGAACGCAAAGCCCTTGCAGTGATTGAGAGAATAGAAGCCGAGCGTGAGCTTTTAATAGCTGAAAAGGCCATGATAACGGGCGAGTTAGGAGCTAAGATTTTACTTAAAGCGGCAGAAGAACGTTTAGAAGCAGCTATGTTTGATGTGCTGCAAGCCGAAGACAGTCAAACCGAAGTTGACGAAGAATGTGAAAATAGTGCTTCCGATAATGAAGAAAGCGAGGCAGAAGGAGATGAAGATGACTTAGAAGAGCTGGACGAACTCGCGCTAGATCCTGAGGAACTGACAAATACCACAGCTAAGCGCGACCTTGATCAGTTAGAGGGTACGTTACCGGTGAATTTCAGTCAGGTAGACACTCAGTTACAAGGCAGCGAACATGCACAGCGAGATGTAGATGCCACATTTCCCCACTTCAAACACGCTAAGGCCGCGTTTTGCGATCTCGAGGAAGGTGATATGCTCTATCTTCCTGCTTCGTGGTTCCACGAAGTCGTGTCGTATAATTCTGCTCAAGACAATGGACATCTGGCTTTAAATTATTGGTTTCACCCGCCGGATCGACTCACGCCCGAACATTTTACTTCTCCATACTCCTCACCATTTTGGGAGCGAGACTGGAAACAACGGTATCAACCCGAGAAACAATATTAACCAGCACGTCAATAATTCTATTGTTAGGTAAGCGCACTAATTTTCAGGCCATCCGTTCTGCTTGATATCGTAGATATAAAGACGACTAAACGCAGACGGGCATAGTTGCTGTAGCAGCGAAAGCATACACTATCTTCTGAGAGGTTGTCGCAGTCAAACCAAGGGACTCGTCGTCCTGACTATTGTCGCCCCTTGAAATGCTCCCTCATACTTCGACGGAGTTCGGGAGTTCTCTTTTTTCAGTTTCCAATGACTTGATGCGCTTGATCGGAGAGATTCGTCATTATTAAAGCACTGGCTCGTTAGGTGCTTTGCTCCTATAGGTGTAGAATCTGCGGAGAGCAAGCAACTTGCCGAGGCCGAACGATCAATTGAACGGCCCGAGCAACTATGAATGGGTTTAGGCTCAGTCTGGTAAAATGTAGACTCCGATCTTGATTCATTTTTAGAACTCGCGAGTGCTGGGACTGAATCATCCTGTTCTGTGATAATCCATCGTGGGCGTGAGGATGATCGACCAGAATAAGCATTTGGCGTCAGGTAATCGATACTTTCTTGTATCGGCGCTTGAATACTCGGCCCTCCACCATATATTGTCAAAAAAGTTAACCATACTTCCTGACTAACAACATGATAGTCGCCTTTTTTGTGACTTGCTCTGCTTCGTCGCAAAGTGCGCTTTGGTACCAATTCACCATTCACAAAGTCGAGCAATGCGTAGTTCGTGACAGGTCCCGGGCGGGGAGGTCTTGCGAGTCGATACTTTTTGCTTTGACGCGTTTCAGGTCCAATGCGTGGTGGATGAACTTCCGCATCCGTAGAAATCACACGAACATATTGTAACCATTGATTAAGCCACGCCGAGCTCATAACAAAGTGCCTGCTGCTAGATTGTTCATCTTGATCCAAGGCTGATTTTAATTGGGAGCACGCTCGCGCGTTTAAAACTTCATCAAGTTCTTCAGCTCTTGTGACCGACAAACGAAGAGGAAAGTGAAGTGCACTTCCATTCAAACTTTTCTCAAGCTGCAATGACTTAGTAGATTCGATACAAAACTCTTCATCCTCGATGTCATAATCTGTAAGTCCCAATCCTGTACGTCGCATCCATAACGAAGGACATTCAATCTCGACTTCGACCGGGGAAGTCGATGACTCAGTAGCTTCCTGTCGACCTTTTGATGATATAGCAACTGTAAATCGCTTGACTCGAGGATCGTCTTGCGCTGCCATGTTGCGCAGTGTACTTGCGCAAGCACCACAAGTTCTTTGAGGTGCTCCGTCTTTAATTAGTCGATGTTGGCTTGGAGCTGAACCGGCAAGAGGAAGATATGTACGATCATGCGAGCAATTGGCACACACAAGATGACCACATAATCGACAATGGTGTCGTCGACGTGTAAGTGTGAATGAAATAAGACAGATTTGACACCGTGAACTTGCTGTATCGGGTACCCAATTTGCTGCTGCTTCTGGGTGGGAATAATAGCAGTGTGGTTCCATTTTCCACGGATAGAACGAGATGGAATACATGACAGCTACTTGACTCACATCGTTTTTGGGCTGAGGAATAAGTCGCTTCCACAAATGAAGCGACGTTTTCCTACTACATTCGCTCTGACTAATTTCTTCTTCTCTGACATTCTCTTGAGTTGGTATGGACAGAACTTCTAAAACATTATCATCGTCAGTTAAATTTCCACTGATGCGCCGAGTCGAGTTGGTATTGCTACCTCGTCGTTCTTCTGCTCGAGTTGCTTCGCTCGTCGTTTGTTTTGTATTTGGACGCCAGGCTTTAAAACCATTAAGCAAAAAGCTTGACGACCGTATTAATGGAGTGTGATTTGACGAGACAACTCGAATGAAAGGCTGAGATGCCCGACGCGATCGTTCCTTGTTGTCCAGCATGAGTTTCTGAAATCTTTTGTAGTGTCAGGAAACACGTTATTTTACAGCACGAAAAGACAAATATGCTCTCGGACGTGCGTGAGATAATAATAACGGAATGCATCCTGTTTCAAACGCACGTAACTGGGTTCTTGCCTAACAAATGGGCAGCGAACGTTTCAAAGGTTAAGACAAAAACGCCATAAACGTCAGTAATATTTTCACCGAGCTGAAACATATTACAGAAAAGAACGAGATCAGTATGCGGTTTACTTATTGGAACTTAGATAGAAAGATTGAATTTTCAAGCAAAGAGTTTCATTTTGTCACTCATCACTTCAAAGTTCTTCTATTTGATCTCTCTATAATTGAGACATCCTGCAAAGGAACATTCGGGCAGTTTTCTTCTTCTTACCGCATACAAAAGTTATGGAAGTTCATTGATAGTATCATTATTTCCTAAAAGTCGAACAGGTGCGAAAAGAACATTTTTCTACAATTAGTCGGTGGGATACACTGGTGCTTCAAAATGAGCAATTGATCGAGGCAGGAAAAATCCTCGACGAAAGCTCGAATTGTAAGGATTATCTTCTGGCTTCGACATTGTTGGCGGAGTATAGTGCTCATCAAAGCACCCGGATCTAATTGTGACATCAATCGTCAGTGTTTAAGAGTCTTGACAAGTCGGGAAAAGTGCTTATGTACCTTTCCATTTGGCGTTTGAGCTGATGATAGAGTTCGATGCAATTGGTCGTCAAACCCGCCTAGCAAAGCGAGATCAATGTTAAAATGCCATAATAGAATGAGTGCCAAATTACTTTTGACGCACATGGATAATCACATTGATAAGGAAGCCATTTGTAGCATCATAGGTCACTTGAGTTCGGATGGGTGGAGCAATGAACTGCTCCCAGTTATAATGCGCACTCCTGAAAAACTCCAACCACGAGTGGTACTTGGGTCGAATGGCTGGTTCACTCCACAGCACATCAACCACTCGGATCGAATCCCGAACTCTCGCTTTTCTCGACTCAATGATACGTTTACGACGACAACGGCGTCGTAAAACAGTAGCAGAATCTTTCGCAAGCGTCAACTCATCTAATGGCTTGCAAAGAAATTGCTCAAACGCTGCAACATTAATACGCCGAGGGGCTTTTCCAAAAACCACTCGTTGCGTACGAGTAAGACGGCGGGTTGCGATACGAATCCCCATGCTTAAGAACCAAAGAAGTATCACCACCCAGGCTATATTAACCACAAGCCAGAGCGCTGGATAATTTATGAAGTTGTCAACGATCCTTTCTTTGACCCACCGTAACGAAGGAGTTGTAGCTTCATCCATCCCGAGAAGATCTCCGTCCGTAATTCGATCCAATAGTTCAAAGCCAAGAGTGGCAGCAAAAAGAAGCAGCAAAACGTCAAACGATCCCTGGAGCGAGTATTGATTCGTGCGCATAGCCTCCGCTAACACTGCTACATTACGCTCGACTCCGGCAACCAGTCCTTCTAATATCGTTTTGGCCATTGTACCGTTCTGACTTTGTACTTGTTTCAACTTGGCACGAAATCCTCGAAGCAATTTGGCAAGATCTTTACAACGCAGTTCCAAGTCTTTGTGCGTTTTATGAAGTTGCAAGTGGTCGTACAAAGCAGCGCCCCCACCCGTTGGATCGCTGACGGAAGGCTTGGGCCTTGAAGGTAAGGTGTGTGCAAGCCCATGCAATGACTCGCGTAAATGTTCGAGAATTTCCTCTAAACGGACGAGATCATGAGCACACTGGCTGACACGATCCCGCATTTCATCCATAGCTTCGGGATTCATTTCAAAGCTCGTCATATAGTTGCGTGCGCGTGCTAGGATATCACCTAGAACAAATGTGCGCTTGAAAAAGAAGCGCACGACAAGTTCACGTGACAGTAACGTCAAGTGCGCAACCAGCAGCGGCTCGTGTCGATTAGCGTTCGGCCCAGCAAGCAGTATCCCGTCATGTCCAACCAGTAACTTGTCGTCTTTTCCAATATCGTGTACGGAATGAAGCTCGCCTAAGACTTGCTTAAGCTCATTTTCTTTCTCACCACGGTCAAGATAGGCTCGAGCAGGAAGCTTTGGAGAGATGCCACTAGCAGTAAGTAGTGCAAACTTATTTCTTGATCGTGCGTCACCCATAAAAAGCATATCCAGTAGTTCACGCTGATGTGACGACAACAAGTCGTTGATGATCTTGGACGAGTCGAGATTCACATCCACCAACAGGCGAGCGAGATGGTCAATGCAGAGAAAATCCGCGGACCGATCCATGGTCGCGTCAATCTCCAGTCCGTACACAATTGAGCCATCTCCGTTGAGATGCATCCCAAAACTTTCAACTTGAATGATACCATCTTGAGTTGGAGCGTAAATATCCGCTTCGAAGTTGGTATAAGAGTCAAATTCGAAATCAACAATCGCAATCTTGGTAAGTTCCGGCTCGATTGCTAACGACGTTGACGTCGGTGCGCCGTCTAGCTCTGAAGTAAATAGTCCTCCCTGACATCGCTCGAGTGAGCCCAATCGATCGTTGAGCAGCACAATTTGGTTTGGACCAAATGGAATCCACTCACCGACCATAAGTCTAGCATTTTCCAAAACAACGGCAAACGACAGATCTGCATCTTGTATATTGCTACTTGCTGCACTAGCTGCAGCTTGACGGCACTTTTCACCCTGCCACGCATTGGAAGAAAAGCTGACTGTGCGGTTTTGCATCAAGCAACTTGGCAAATATGGACTCGACACGTACGACACGTCTTCGATATCCGTGACGCGTGAAATATAGACACTTCCGTCTCCACGTCGTATTTGAAAGTGGCCTTTCTCGGGTTTGTACGTGATTTGGAGCAAAGGGCTCTCCACCAAGACAAGACTATGCCGGTTCGTTCTCGCTTGAGGCAGCGTCTCTAATCTGGAAGACTCAATGGGTATTGACCCACTGTCAGTGACGGACGCGCTCGGAGCTGTGAGAAATTCATCTAGTCGATGCTTGTCGTGACTCGACAACGTCTTGAGCTTCTTCATACCCTGTGCTGTGACTTGATAAGCTGTAGACGGCTGAAAATCGTCACTGCAAGTTTTGAGAGCTTTAACTAATTCATGTTCGCGTAAGTCGTCAATAGCCGCTCGAGCATCGTGGCTAATGTTCAGCCACAGTCTTCTCGATTGTCCGTCCTTTATAATGTTTGTGCATACAGGCGAGTAATCAAATGCCAATAGACCGCGAACGATAGCCTCAAAGACCATCACTTGAAGTGGCAAACTACGCAGCCACTTTTCTTCCTCATCCGTTGATTTCGGGTACGTAGCAAATCGAGATAACAAATACAGCAGACGCAGATGACTGGGTGTCCAATTTGCATCACTTTCGTGTGGTACTGACGATGGCAATGTGTCAAGTTCCATGTGGGAAGCAGCTCTCACAAAGTCTTCGCGGACACCAGAGACTCGTAGCGCCATTGTTGCACATGTGATCTTGAAGAGGCGTAGTGTCGTACCAATACAACCACATATAAAAAGTCTTTTGTAAATCGTACCTTCAAGACACCTTGTACAACAAATTGGTACCACAGTTCATGGAGCGCGAGGACGCAGCCACTGTTCTGAGCGTCATCGAAGAGGGCGATGAGCCGGAAATGAATGCTGAAGCATTTGCAGACATGGCTATGAGTGGTTTGGACATGAATTCTGAGATTCATTCAGTGTTGATTGATAAAAACAATGCAGCGGCTATAGCCATTCCTCAGACCAAATTGAGCGCTTACGAGAAGCTCCGGAACGGAGCAGTGCATTATTCCAGACGAGAAGACAAGATGCGTGTGTTACAGGAGCATCCAGTGGTGGCCTCCGTGTCGTTAGATGGGAGAACAGTAGGCTGCAAATGTGGTCGAAGTGTACGACTGAACCCACCGTGGTACATTCTCAAGTTCGAGCAGCACGTGGCTAGTCGCAATTGCACGTTTTTGAGACAAAAGCATTCTAGGAAAAGAAAAAAAACAGAGGAGAATAGCGAGTCAAATGAATCTTTAAAGTTAGACGATGAAGCTGAAGACTACTCGCTGCAGACAGTTGACAAAATACTCCGTCGAGAGTTTGGAGTTATGTTGAATGGCGAGCTTGTAATAAAACCACCTACTTCTGAGTATTCTGATCATCGAATTCGAATGTATAAAGGTGCAGTAGCACTGAGTGAGAATTCGCACTGTAAGCGCATGACACCGGATGGAAAGTTTGTCGAGTGTAAGTGTTCTCGGGTTGTGTTGCTCGCCGCACCGTGGCAAATTGGACAATTTTTAGTGCATATTGCAGAAAAGCAGAAGCCCAAGAAACGAGCAAAAGCTGCTTCTGCAAGCGGATGGCGAAAGAAAAAAATTGTCAAGACAGTCGTTTCAAGTGGTGGTCCCATTAAACCACCCACATCTACTAGTACATTATTACAAACTTACACGAGCAAAAAGAGTTTTCCACGCGAAATTCGATGGGATGTCGCTCGAGCACGTGGATTGCTCCCATGTCCAGGATTGCGAGATGAGCGTATGAACTCGTTTGTGACTTCAGCGGTTCAATTGACAGGAGGTGGTCGACATCGACAGAAGATTGCGCGCGAAATTTTCCCACACCTGTTTTCAGATACTTTGACATACGGTCACGCTGACGATGGCGGTGAGCACAACCATTTTGACAGTCAAAACATCGTCATCATCAAGCGGTATTCAAACTTTCAGCAACAGCTTCTTGAAGCGGAAAAACTACTTCTGCACGACGTCATTGAGGGTGAAGCTTTGTGGTTTGTTGACAAGGATGGCAATTCGGTTCGTAGTCTGGACTGTCTTGGGGTGGTTGACACAAGCAGCGCGGAAGTCCGTTGTGCCTCTTGTACAGCTCTTCGGAGTAATGCAGCTTTGAGAACAGCAGCAGCTTCTCAGCATAAAGTGGCAACACGAATGGGACGGCCACGCAATCCGATCAACAGAAAATTTTGTTCTGGACGGGTGTGTGCATTGCTTGAAGCTGAGTTTGACATGCAAGAACCGTATGCGAAAGTATTGCGTGATTTAGCACTTGCTGATATTCCCATCGCTTCGAATATTTGGATGGAAATGGCATCGCTGGGCCTTTCTGGTGAGTTTGATTCGCATGTAGTGCTTCTAGGTTTGATTGAGGCCATGGTTCGATTAAAAGACAAGGAGCAACGTGGCGTGGGCTTACAGAATATGACATACAGCGATCATCTCGATACTTTCATGTGTTCACTCACAGATACTTCATCAGAGGCTTGTGAGTTGTTTCAGCGGCATCTGGGTGGACGTAAGCAGAGACAGGTGCTAGCAGGAAATGTGAGACGCACTCAGCAGAAGCAGGAGCACTCGATCACCACGACTGATCGAAACCAACACATTCGTGACTCGCTTAACGATGACAGGTCGAATCTAAGTGCTGATCGCACCTCTAACGACGATCGCTTTGACCATTTGCTGGAATCCTCAATTGTTGGCCTTCACGTGCCTCATTTATCGATTAGTGACATTCAAGACGTCGATCTGGCCACTTTTTCGACAACTTCAAATATCGATTTTCAGTCTAATGATGCCGTAGAAAGCGCAAAAGAAGTATCAACTGCACCATCTGCCGTTAGTGTTCATAATCTTGAATCTGTAGTTGGATCGTTTGAAGTGTCAACAGTTGATTCAACATGCAGCGGGACAGAGAGGCAATCAAATTTTGAGATCGAATCAGGCAATGAAGCTACTTTTAATGAATCTTCATTAGATCGAACAAATGGATGCGAAGAGACTAATGTAGACGCTGAAGAATCATTAGAGTGTGATTCGAATGCAATAGCGTTTCTTTCCGAAATTGAACCATTTGTGGCAGAAAAAGACACAGGTGATAATGACATTGTATTACCGACTGACCATGTCCCTTGTACAGGCCTTCGGGATGACAATGTACAAGCTTATGTCTCGAATGCCGTTCAAATTGTCGGTGGAAGCCGTCCACGCTATGTGATCGCACGCGAATTATTCCCTCGAGTGTTTGGAAACGACGAAAAGGTTCGCATCGTAGACAAACTCACTGACGACCAGCGACTCGTTTTACAGGATGCAGTCTTTAGTGAATGTTTGTGGCGTGTTGACAAGGAAGGGCGGTGTGTTCGTAGTTTGCGGTGCAAGCGCTTTGTGCCAGTAGCTGACAATCAAAACCGTACAAACTCCCAAAGTCGAGGCGTATGTGGTGCCTGTCGAGACTTGCGCACCGTGCCAAACTTTCGTAGTGTGCTCAGTCGCTCGAAAGTGCCAAAGAAATTGGAAAACATCAAATACGTGCCCAGTGTATACACTGAGAGCGATCCATTTTTGCGGAAATTATCAAAGAATTCGGCTTTTCGTGGACTATATCAAACTGTCAAGCATATGGTATCTTCAGGTCCTAATAAACAAGTCGATGTCGATGCCGAACGACGAAAACAAGTTCAGTTCTGGCTACGATTTGCTCGCATGGGTGTTTTTGGACAATTTAAATCACATCCTGTGTTTGAAGGCTTGATGAAGAGTATGGTGGAAATGAAGGACAAGGAACGTCGTGGTGTTGGGAAGCAAAATATGCAGTATTCTCGAGCACTGGACGAGTTCATGCAAAGCATGGCGCAAATATCCACCGAGGCATTTGAACTTTTTGTTGGCCAGTTTTGTGGCCGCACCCTTCGCTCGCAGAAGGTCAAGCGTCGATCAATGGCCCTTACGACTGTAAAATCGACGCGTACTGAAGCTGCATCTACAATAGTTGACGATACAGTCACGCCCAAACCCCAGCCATCATTGCCGACACTTTCATCACATCAACACCAACAGTTTCTCATGCCATCGGATGATTTACTTGGTGGTCGGAGTTTATCATCCGAGGAAAGCCAACGCTTTATGGATCGCATGCTGGACGAAGTGCGATTTTCCGTGAGTCAGGAGATGCAACTTGCTGAAGATGAGGCACATTGTCGCAAAGCTGATGCGTCAACACTTAATGATGATCTTACCAATCGCTTAGGCCCTGAGACGTATTTGAATGACGATGGTGTGCTTATTACAGACATTTAACGATTTCAATCGTCCATATATTGGTATTAATTAATCAGATGTTCCATATGCATTTTTCACAATTTTTCTTGTTTCTCCAGGTGTTTCGAGATAAGTCCCAGCACTTGCGTGAAGTTTATTGTCTTGACATTAAAACACTTCATGATCTCATGATTTGAATGGATCACTCGTCCGTCTTGAGGATCTTGCAGCTTATGCTCCTTGACATAAGCCCAACTGGAGACACACTTAAGCATAAAAGAGTTCACAAAACACAAAAATAGACGAGTACGACGCACAATTCTTTAATTGCAGCAGGGCGAGTAAGCTCGCTCTTACCAAGTAAGTGGCCTAAGGAAGGCGACAGCCTATACAACTGCTTGGCTGCCATAGTAGTCGTTGAATGTTCTATGGCTCTTCAACCGTTCTGTAATAGATGAGTTTTTGAAATTCTAAATGTGAGATTCTCATCATTTTGAGAATACACAAATGAGTCTTAGATTTAAGTTTCAGATGTGTACGAAAAAGGTCAAGCCTATTATCAAATTTAAAGAAGCATTGGTAAACGTCTTGCGGGAGAAACTCGTACATTTTCATTGCTCAGTGAACTTGACTATCAGAAGGTTGACCTATCTAGCAGCAAGATAAACAATAATCGAAAAACCTGCTGACCGAGCATGAGTATCTTTCTTGTATTTTTTAGAACAAAATAACCAAGATGTACGATAATTAAAAAGAATAACAAAGTATACGGTGATAGCTTCATTCTACGTCCTCATTTCTTCAAATACAGCTTTAACAGCAACCTCTGTTAGCAGGAGGATTCGTGTTACCAAAACCGCCAGGGCCTGGCGAGCCCGTCATGCCCACTTTGATGCCATGTGCCTAGAACACGCATTAGATCCTGCTTTCTAGTTGGTGCACTATAAATGATCACACGTACCTCATTGGTCACGTCACAGACGCCCGATTGAATGTTCGAATGAATCTTCGAAGCTGTCTTGACAAATGCCTGCATGTACATCACCTCTAGTAAGAAAACGGAGTGTCTGTTGACCTGTTTCATCAATACTTACATCTTCTACATTTGCAGCAGTTTTGGCAGACGTTTCAAGAAAGATAAGTCCATTCTCTTTGGCAAATTGCTCCCCTTCTTTAAAGCTTACCGCCCGACGGTGCTCCAAGTCGCTCTTGTTTCCAATTAACATGATAGCCATATTTGAATTCGAATTCTGTCGCGCCTCCTCTAACCACCTCGTCAAGTGATTAAAGGTCTCACGTCGGGTGATATCGTAGACTAAAAGAGCACCGGCGGCACCGCGGTAGTATGAACGCGTAATGGAGCGAAATGATTCTTGTCCAGCCTGCAAGATTATATGAATAGCAAAATTATCAGCAAGACCACAAATAAGAGGAATTTCGACACAAAAATATCTTCACCGTGTCCCAAATTTGAAGTTTGATCTGCTTATTTTCAATACTAATCATGCGTGCACCAAACTCAACGCCAATCGTAAGGTCATGCACAGGCTGAAAACGCTTATCCGTGAATTGTAACAGAAGACACGACTTGCCAACGCCTATCGTAAGCGAGTAAAAAAGTCATTAGGCAAATCAGCAACAAATAATTGACCAAAGAGACTGAATAGTGACGTACCAGTGTCACCAATGATAATATACTTGAACAGATACGCGTACGACATAGTTTACTTGCAAAATCTACAAAACGAATATGACTAGTATGAGCTAGAGAGCACGAAAGCGCACTTGTGTGCGGTCTGAAACGTCTACATAGCTCGAAGCGTATGAGACGACCACACGTACGTACCTAGGTTATAACTCGAGTGGAGCCGTGCAAACAGAGATTGAAGCTGGAGATAGATATGCTACGATTCTACGCTCGGCTTGGCGGTACGAAAGTGGGGGGACCTAGATTTTTTATATACCTTCACTCTGTGACCTAAAGAATAAACGACCCGTCAACTTTTGTGCGGACCTTTTTAAAAATCACTTTTATTTTCTACACAAAGTTAGCAAGAACACTAATTAGAGCTTTGCGTCTACCACATCATATTTTGTCCGCGCGCGGTGGGTCGTCTCCGACTACGTCATGGAGAATTACAATATCTACGACGAGATCGGACGCGGCACACACTCATTCGTATATAAAGCGCGACGAAAACGCAGTATTGAGTACGTAGCTGTCAAATCCACGGCTAAAAGCCGCATGAATAAGGTGCGAAACAACTAAACTGACTTGTACTATTGTTACGACTGAAGTACATGATTGCCGTAGATTCTCAACGAGGTTCAGTTTTTACACAAGCTCGATAGCCCACATGTACTGAAATTTTTCGACTGGTACGAATCATCCAACCACATTTGGCTCATTTTCGAGTATTGTATGGGCGGCGATCTGCTCAACCTCATAACGCAGGATAAACAGCAGCCAGAGTCTACCGTACAGGTGCAACAAGGCCATAAATGTATTAGAAATTTGCAAACTATGTTATGATATTAATACTATATCGTATATCGCAGACTTTTGGACTTGAACTTGTGGCTGGATTGCAATATTTGCATTCGAACAGCATTTTGTTTTGTGATTTAAAACCTGCTAATATTCTTATTGATGAATGCGGTTCGCTTAAAGTATGTGGCCATATCTCAAGTGCTGTGAGTGAGTTATTGACCTGATTTCTGGTGATGTTTTGTAGTTGGCAGATTTTGGATTAGCACGTCGTATTCCTGGACTCGATGCAGCACCTGCGCCAACAGTATGCATATTCTAGTATTTCGATGGAATGCTTTATCTTCTATGTTGACACAGGGTGTAGCTTGCTCCAGGTTCGCCGCATTATATGGCACCTGAATTATTCCAGCAACCGGCAATTCACAGCTTTGCATCAGACTTTTGGGCATTGGTCTGTGCACGTTCTTCTTGTTATTTTATGAAAATGTAGAATTAAATACTTGGTACTGTATCGGTAGGGCTGTGTTTTCTATGAACTTAGAACTGGACGACAACCATTTACTCATACTAATTTCTCAGACTTAGCACGAATGGTACGAATGTTGAAGTAAAACAAGAAATTCAAATTTACGAGAATCGTTGTGCACTTACTCCATGATGTATTCGTTATAGATTCAAAAAGAAACTGTGGACTTCTCAGTTGCTGGCTCTGAGCTCTCGCCTACCTTTCGTGACTTACTACAGCGTTTGCTAACCAAAGACCCTTATCAACGGATTACATGGTGCGAATTTGATTTTTGAGCTCAAGCATATTACAAAATCTGATGTGATTAAATGGTTATAGGGACGAGCTGGTTGATCATCCTTTTTGGAGTTCATTACCTCGACTAGAGAAACTTGCAATGCCTAGGCAGATCAAATTTGATTCCAACGCCCCAATGTCGCTCAGGTAATTTCCTTGTCTCATGTGAAAATCGAATCGTACTCAAAAACAGTGGTGGATCTCTGCACAGTGAACAGACTCACATCCATGCTACCTCAAATAATTTCAAGGTTAATTCGAAAAAAATGCGACCTGGTATTAAGGATTACAAAGACAATAACATGGCTGATGAAAATAGAGGTGACCATTCTAGACCGCCACCTGATCCAAAGTCAGATATTTTTTTTCCGGTTGGCATTCCTTCTCAAGATGAGATTAGACCTATCAGCGCACCGACTTCCTACTTAAGCACATTACAGAACAACAGCAAAGATGTTGACGAAAATCACGATGCTATTTTGAACGTCCCCAGTCATTTAAGTAAAATCCGACAGCACTGGAAAGCAATGACCAAGCCGTATTCTGCACCTCCTGCTACCCGAGATACGTCAAACCGGCGACCACAGCTTAATGATTTGTTTGATCGGAGTGGATTGTTTGGTACTGGGTTGCGCAAGATATCTAAGCTTGTCTTTACTGCCGCAGATTGCCGTGTTAAATCAATTATCGGTAACAACGACTTTCAAGTCGAAGACTTGCCTCGCATTCGGGCAGACCTTGTACAGTTTACTCTTTTTACGCCAGAAGACCTACTTTCGTGCTCAACAGAGGCTTTAGAAACCCAGCTTAAGGATATTTACATGAGTCTTAAGTCCTCGCAGGATCTTTCAAAGCTCAGTGTCTTGGCGTACTTATTTACTCTGAGCTGCCATGCCCGGCTTGCTCACGTGATCGTGAATAGCTCCCTACTTAAACTCTTGATTCGTTTGCTGGCACAAGAAGCTCAGTCATCTGTGCCAAACAAGACTACAATTTCAATGCTGTGCCTTGTTCTTGGCATTCTCTTCCGCTTTGCAACTTTTATTGCGCCATCTTCGCTTGATCAATTTCAGCTGCTTGTGACGTCGCTTTCGGAAATCGTTAGCATACCTGATGAAGATCCTGGTTTCGAAATAAGTGCTTCTTCGAAAGAAATGCAGCCTCGCTCGCTAGCACTCGCGTGTCTTGGGGAGTTACTGTTTTACATTTCAACTCAACACGAATGGGAATTACCAATGGAAGGCGTTGAGACTGTCCTCGCTTGCATAGAGGACACCGATGTCGCAGCTCGGTTCTACACTATTAGAACGCTGGGTAACATGTTAATTCATTGTACCGATTCTCTGATTCTGCTTTTGGTGAATGAAAACATTGTGTTGACGTTGATGCGAGGGCTGTTGCAGCTTGCCACCCCGATGTCGAGTGACGACGTTAAAGAGCAAAGGAAAAGGATTGCACTTCAAACAGCAACAACTGAGGCACTTGCGCAAGTGTTGAGGCATCTTCGCTTGCCTTCATCAAATGCTCTGCTCCCATCTCGGCTGAAACGCTCAATTTTATTATTTTTTGCCAAGCCGGATCTTTTACACGCAATATGGCGTGGTGTTCAATGTACTCAAGAATTTGCAGAGTTGGCAATCGCATCGCTGAACATCATCAACGCATTTTTGGATTTGAAACTGAGTACTAACAGCGATGCAGAGTCTGCTGCGATCAAGGCAAGCCGATCATTGCTACTGGACCGGATTGTAGTCTTCCCAACAATGTTGAAAATTCTGGAATTGGGCACTTCGCTTGATAATGAGAGTCTGACTATCATGAAAGCAAAGGTTTTGATTCTGCTTCACCTGGGAGTGCACTCAAATAGGAGTCTATTACACTTGTTTGTACAGCAAAAGTTATTGGATATTGTGGAGAGCATTGTCAACCCGATTGAACACGAGCTCCGCGCTGATAAAAACGATATTGACTCACAATCACCAGAGTCTAAATTATCAGCAAGTAAACAGTATCTCGCGCAGTGTGCTTTGAATGTGTGCAAGCTGTCCATTCGAATGGCTTTAAAACTTGGAGCCGTTTGTTTTTCTATGCACAGCAGCATCAAGGAAGATCAAGTAGGAAGCTCAAATAATGGTGAGCATCGATCATATACCGTATCACCAATACCGTTCGAGCTATTTAGTGATCTGCTGCGCAATCCAAATTGTCGCCAACAATTGCTTACCTATTTTGTGGCAAATGACAGCAAGCAATACACCTTCTTCTTACGGTTAATGACAGAGCTACTCATGTCATTCTCTGATGAGACCATAGTCATTCCGTGGAAGACTGAAACAACAAGAACAATAGCACAACATGTATCAGAAATATTGTTAGCTCTATTCAAACATGGAGGAAAGGAAGCAAATGACATCGTCTTTGTGGAGCAGCAAGTGCTATTCGGTCACTTACTACCAGCAGTAGTAAAGCATATCAATGGAACATCGGCAGGTACTCGTGAAAATGTGTCGTCGAACTGCCTTTGTATTCTTCACGTTGTCTTACTGGAGTTCGACTATCAGAGTGGCAATCATGACAAGAAGTCGCGCGATGTTTTTACTCAATCAATACTCATTCCTCACATCAATGCGTTGTTTGCAAATCGGCACGGTCTGGTCGAAAGAATTTGGACACTAGTAAGTCAACTTCTTCATGGTTTACTTTCTACGGACCCTACTCTTCTCCAGCAAGTGGAATCTGTCAATTTGGTACCAACGATCGTGAATCTGCTACGAGTTCCTGACGAGTTTCATTCGCTGCCTTTGCATGCTACCCAGCTTGTTCATATGCTCCTCGATTCCAGTCACGTAAACATAGAATTATTGCACAAGTCTGGACTTGCCAAGAGTGTTATTGCCGGCTTGACTTTTGCATTTAAACGCGAACTGCTGGATGAAAGTCTGCTAGATTTAGTAGTCATTCTATTGACTCTGCTTCACCAGCAGCACGAAAACATGCAGCAATTAGAGCCCTCAACAACTCTATTTGAATTTGATGAAATTTTGTCTTGTGGGCAATTACTGCTACAGTTCTGTGCATGGAGCGGCAAACACATGTCATGTGAAAATAAATCAGATGAGAATCGCCGAAGGAGAGATGAGCTTGCAGATGTAACTTCTCGCTGTCTCTTATTACTCTCTCAGGTAAATTACCCGAAAAATTAGCATTGATACCTCAATGTTCACACCTTTGTTGATTTGCCTTAGATATCTGGTGAGCAGCTGAACGAAATCTTCTTTCGTCAAAATGAAGCATTTGTATCGAACGCGGATGATTTCGTATCAACGTAAGTTGTTTAGGTAGTTAATTGCGATAAAAACCTGACGCATTTTGATTTTTATAGATCGCTTACGAATTGCTTACAAGGCAACATGAATGGCGTCGTCTTGCTGCGCGTACTACTTACATTGAAAAACTGCCTTAGCTATAATACATCGTCCCACTTGAGTCGGTGGGTATTGCAAAAAGGTCGTATTTCCAGCATGATCGAGACTCTGGTCCCTGATATGCAAACTATTCAATTAGATGAAGCTCAGAACGAAATGGAACCAGAATTTCTGTCGGTAAAGGAGAAGATATTAAATGCTGCAACAGCAATAACACATCTGTGCCGCTCCTCAGACTCAAGATGATTTGCAATGCATCCACTTTAAAACAAAATGAGAGTCTTCTTCGGAATCCTTTATTGTGCAACAAAATTGTGGTACTCTGCTGTGCCTATGAACGAATGTTGACTTACGCAAAGTGCTGCTTCGATTCTTCCCATTCTTGGTTTGGATAAATCTGAAGATCTAAACTTTCAGCAACCTCATTAAGTGTTGAGTCGTCGCCCTCAAACAGTCCCTTGAAAACAACATTGACTATATGCTCATAGCGCTCTTGAATCAATTTGATCTCGTGAGGTGTGTTCGGTACCACACGTTCGACAAGAATTGCTAATACCAAGCACACCTGGCATGCCACCACGAACCCTAGAGCTCTAGCAGTTCCACTTTGGTCCTCAAACAAGTCAGACGTCCATAAAATCAAAGCCGTGTTTGTGCCGAGCGCGATGTACGTCATGAATCGAAGGATATAAAACCATACACCAATGTCTTTTGCCGGATGTGGAAAAGGGCGGCGATGCACAAAGCAGAGTTTCACGGCATCAATATGAACTTCTAACACGTTGTTTGCCAGCGCAAGTAGAGGTGTTAGAGGGAATGCCACAACGAACAGATTGATAAATCCATATTGGATGACCATCTCGTTATAATCTTCAAATGCCTCGTTGCTTTCGTAAGGGACAAGCTTTGCCTGCTCCTCAATGTAATTGTGACCAGTCTTTTCCCCTATGATGGCTGCTTTGCGCTCAGCAAAAAGCTGATAACGGTATTTAAGGTACGGCACAGCCACTTCCGTAACATTTCCCACAACGATACGAATGATAAAGAGAGTCAATAATTGGTCGCGTAGCTCTTGCATGCAGTCATCTTCGTACAAACAAGAACCTTCGGCCAAGCGCTTGACAAATGCAATGTAAAAGAAAGAGGCAAATGAGTTACAAAATTGAAAGAGGAAAACCTTGATGACCAGATAATTTTCATATTCGGCGTCTGTCCGATGGTTTTCATAATCATTCAGTTTGCGAGCCACATTACGATACACCGTATTAAGGACCAAAATTTGGATCGCGTTTACTACAGTCACAGCGAAAGTCAGTGGCGTTTGGTACTCGGCGCTAATGTGACTGTTTTTAAGGTTGTCCTTGTCATTGATCCAGTTCTTTAAAAGAAACAGACCGAAAAGAGCCACTATGACGATTCCAACCATCAATGTCACAACCACGACGGACACGAGGAACGCACGACGACGCTTCAACTTGCTTTCAAATGTCACTTCTTCACTATCTGTGACAGGATGATAGCTTTTCGTGCCGCGAAATTGAGGCCGGTAACGAAATGATTGGTGTAAACCACTAAGTCCCCATAACGAATCCAAAAGACCATTTTTACGCTTCCACAATTCAGAAAACAGTGATGACCAGAGCACGACAAAGACTGCAAAAGCGATCAGAATATAGCCTTGTTGATTAGTACCCGTTGCGGCTTGACGTGCTTCAATATAGACAAACGTGATGAGACCCGCTACTGCGGGAAAGACGAGCATTTTTGTATAAAATTCAAGCCATGCAAAATACAACGCGATTTTTTCTCCAAAGTAGTAGCGAATTTTGTGCAGTGGTTGATATAACATGGTCCAGTGTAAAGCCCACGAATGTCGTAGATCAAGCAAAGCTTGTGGATCATGTAGTGCAAACATTTGACCGACCAAATACCCAGCTGATTCTAAAGCGTCCGCATTAATATGGCGCTCTACAATCCCTTCTGCAAGCCGAATACGATCCTTTTGCGAAAACAGCGTCTCTTCTTTCTTCTCCTCCCACTTGATCGGATACTGTCGATAGTATGGCTGATATTTATCTTCGTGACGATACTCTGCAAAGGGTGCAAAATACGTCAAAGGATCGTAAGGTAAACCAAAAATTGATGTGACAAAGCGAGTCCAATGACTTCCTTGAAGACGTCGAAAAGTGTCATCATGGACAAATAGACCGTCCGCTTCTTCCGTATGTCCGTACAGATCGAGTGCCTTGCGTAATTCCGGATGAAATTCTTGTCCACGCGACACAAGTAAAGGGTCCATCTCAGGAGCCTCGGCTTCTTCATTTGCACACCCACGTGTGTTTTGCAAATGATCCATCGACTTCTGCCACTCCTGATCTCCAATTTCATGTCGTAATTTAGATAATTTGTTTTGATGGAGTGTTTCGTCAAACGGTTTGTTGCTCACTTGAAGTCGATAGTTTGCCCGATCGGCTTCAATTCTAAGATCGTTATTATCCGCTTTAATCGTCATGATAATTTCGTCTGCATCACAACTTAGAAACATACGCGTTGTGAGACCACACGCCAACTGTATACGACGAGCGATCGCTGTGGCTACGAGCTCACAGAATCGAGTCTCGGTTGTTGCATCAGAATTACCAATAAATTGCACATATTCATGCTCAAGTAGCTGTTGCTGTCGCATAAGACGACGTTGTTCACCTTGTTCACTGTGGTCGTGACTTGTGTCCATGGCTACGTCTCGACCACGCTCGTCGAGAAAACAGCGCGACGTGCGTAAAACGCGCTGAAAAGGGTCAATCACAACTTTGTTCAAGCGCTGGCTACGCGTTGTGTCTTTGCCTAACAATAATTGCACGAAGCTATTCATGGTAAAATCATCAGGTTTCTTCATCTCGCCACCCTCGCGCCGCGGAAAGACCATAACTAAATCGTGGTCGTATAACATCTTGTCGTTATTCGCGGGAAAATGCACGGACGACGATGCACTTTGCATTGAGCTAAATTCCATTTCCACACACGAGTGTGGCGATGCTAGCGAATCGTAGCGACCTGGTGACATCGTACGAATGATGGATGCAAAGCAAGGTTTACCACGATTGAGTAGTTTTTGTTTGCGATATAGTGGTGTAGTCTCACAACTGTAAGGACAAGTTCAGGAATTGAGCAGACATATTGTATTCCGGCTATCAAACATAGACATGACTATTGTGCATTTGTATTTTTCAAATCGAAAGTCTGTAACAAGCCTTAGATAATTCAAGGATCAAATTTATCATTAGTATACTTGATACCTGTCTTTTATTCCAAATTGATACCAACTATAGACACTTCTGACTCTTATAGCACTACACAAGGTTTGTTTCCTGTAAAAAAACGGTGTATTTTGTATCAACTTTAGCTAGACTTAATAGAGGCACGCGGCTACGCCTTATAACCTAGTCAGCCTGAAACCTTAAAGCGTCCTCAAACGCCTCACTTAGGATACACATACCAGGGTGCGTTTAGCCAATGTTATCGCAGCTGCTAATAATGTGGCGATAGTTTGACTGCAGTTGAAGTTGTTGCCACTTCAGATCAGTGCATTCAAGAAGCTCAGACACGCTGTAGTACAGTTCTCAATCTAACCAAGGACTTCTTTTTTGGACACCTCTTAAAAAATATCGAAAGTACTATTCAACAAATTCTCTCTTATGTCGTCTGAAACACTAAGAGTGGTGCTTGGGCTTGATGCATTGTGTCGATGCCTTTTTATTGTCAGCCTTACATTATTAACGTCAGTAAGAGAACTCTTACTCTACAGCAAACCAGTCTTATCAATCACCGACAAAAAAAATTCCCCCGTAGAAACAGCTTGTGATCTGACCTGAATCTTTTGGTAGTAAACAGCAATTGTGGGGAGGCTAAGAAGGATTGGACATGTCGCCGTCAGAGTGTTGAAGGATTTCTTCATTTGATTGGCGAGTGCAGATGTTTGCGAAATAGTACAGTGCTGTTATTATCAGAAAATTTGAGCAAGTTCTGGAAGAGCTAATTGAAACTTTTGCAAATTCGGAAGGTAAAGAGTCATCCTTGATAACACTGAGTGCAATGAATCTTGCGCTATTTTGCGACGCTGTGAATCAATGGCCGAGGTTTAACGCAAGGTGTTTGGCACGACAGGCTATATGGTGTCGATACGACAGCACGAGACAGTCATTTATAAAAGCATTTGATCGTGTTATCTGTGATCCCGAGCCAAATGACTCGCAAAACAATGCAAGGTCGTATATGACAAGTAAATCTTGTCTCGATGCGATAATCGTAATTGCCCCAGCATTGCATCGCAAAAAAACATTTTCCATACCTCAATACTTTAAAAACTGCAGTCGTTCCAGCAGAACCTTCAAGACGTTCACAAATTCAATGAGAACCTTTAAACATCGTGATATCCTTCAATACCAACCGAAATGTATACAATGAACAAATAAACATTGATACCTTCGGTTGAAGAGCAATGAGCTACTCTCGCATTTTTTCCATCAATATGTTCGAGCTAAATCAAAGACAGGACAATGATTACAACAAGTCCTGCGGCACTGCGTAAGGTCTTCTCCACGAGTTTATAGATCACTGAGATCAAAGGAATGCCTTAGTCAGACTTGTGAAGATTAGAAACATGGAAATAGGATAAGCAAGAAAAAACCGAAGCAGAAACGAATACCGAATTCGCTTTGAACATCTATTTTCGACCGGATGATGGAGTGGAAAGCTAAATCTCTTTGATTCTCCGTATGCCCATAGCTTTGACGTCTCTATCGTTTTCATGGCAAATGCGACAGAGATGGACGGGCAATTTTCAAAAACGCCGATTTTGAATCCCCAGAAGAGTAAGGATGGTCTCTGCAGCGAAACTCGTCGACACAAACATTGCAACAATCGCATCGCTTACGCCAATACATGGGCTGAAGATGTACAGAATTACCACGTACGTTTTACCCTTTTGAATTCAAACTTTTGGTCATTTGTCACCTTGAAGCGGGCTAAGCTACCTTTGTGCTAGTATAGACAGCGAAATCCGTTTTGCCGTGGAAACCGCAACAGAACCAGGTCGTAAAGTACGTGACTCGTTACGATAAATCACGTGAGGAACGAGAGTACGACGTAGTGCTCGGTCGCTACCGTAATGGTGATAAGGAGATTGGTCAGCAGCAGCGTGAGAGTTTGGAACGGATGCATAATCTCGAAAAAGGACGGGTGTGTATATTCGCTGAAACGATTTGTACTCTCATTTGTAATCCCGTACATCTTCAGGCTAAGCAGCTTCGAACAATGCAGCGCTTTAATGTGATCAGTAACGAACCCATCGTTCCTGAAACAAAAGATAGCACGAACAAGCAATTGATCGCACAGCCGTACCGGACAAAACACGAAAGTGAGTACAACATCGTTACTAATATATCTCGCGACGGTGTTAGCGTGCCTTCTGCTTCTGACAATGCTCACACGTCTTCACAACCTCAACGAGAATATAACATTGTCACAAACAAGTACACACTTTGAATACTGGCGTTGATTAGTTTGTTTAAGCTTATTGTTGAATTTTGCTTGTGGATAGGTATCATGCTTTTCATGACGTCAAAGTAGAGCAAGAATCAGCAGAGGCTAAGCGGTTAGCAGTTCAAAAGTATTTTCAGACACGGACTTTTGATCCTGTTCAAATCACACTTGTAGACAAAGATCGGGAAAAGGAATTTTTGCTTAACCGATATGCACAGCAACAAAAACACGGTAAAGATCGGAATTCACTGCTTCCACCTCGAGAGCAAAGCTCGGAAGGTCATTTGTACAACATTCTCAATCAACACGTGATTGATGCGGAGAGGCTGGCTACTAGGGATAAACATGAGCGGCGTCCTCTCAATAGAATAAAAAAGACTGCGGTTGAAGAAAGAATGCGCGAGACCGGCTTAAGTCAACAAGCTCGGGACACAGATCTGTGTTTAAATCGCTTTTCTCATGATCGCTATGTAGAAAACTCGATACACGGATTTGATGTTATATCTAATAAGCCATATGCCGGTCGATCCGCCAAGCCGCTCGTAAATCCAAGATCGCATACAGCGCTGACGGCCTCGCAAACGATCGAAAGTGGTCTTTCAGTAAGTAATCGAGTCGCGCCGTCGCAACGACCGTTATCAAATTTGCAAGCCGATCAATTCGACACGGGAAAAGCTAATATACGAATCAACGATCCGGCTCTCGACTCACATCAAATGTCTGCTAGCCACCCTTTACGACCGACTCCTGGAGCATTCGTTCGAACATGTGGGTTTGAAAAGGAGTGATAGCTCAGAATAAATATTGAATTCATTACGATTTTGAACCATATTACCTTTGAAGCTTGTCTTAGACTGTGATGTGTGCTGCCTATCACAATTTGAGCCCATAGAAGCTCCAGACCTCGACGGTGTCACAGCGGAAGCTTTGATGATCGACTAGCGGAGGCGAATTGAATGTTGTACAAGCATGCGTGAATCCGCGTCTGTCATCCAGCTGAAGGCATAAGGCAATACCTTTATTGCCACCACCGATAAATATAGCGTCAGGCTGGGTATACATGAATGAACTGTCAATTCCTGACCACGAATACGTGGTCATTTGCGAGCTCAGTGAAAATACGAATGTCCGGCCGTTACCAAAAAAGGATTTCGAACGCTTCCATGACGCCGAACAAAAAGCGCCAAAGACGTTATCATCTTCGTCTTGGACACATAAAATTGTGGGCCCTTTATTCTGGAGTCGATCGAAGAAACTCAAGAAGTTCCATCCATGTACACGAGTGGAATAGACAAGCTCCATTTTACTGCAATTGAGGTAGTGTGGCAAATTTTTTTGCAAGAATCGCATGTGTTTTTCGGTCAAAAACGCAGATTGGTGGCCAGCTAGAGATCGTCCTCCATAGAAGCCTTTACTACCTCCAGCCCATAGTTTAAACTGATCCAATGCACCGATCTTTGCTGCAAATATTCGTAGCTCCCTGGCTCGATCTTCAACAGGAGCTATAACGTTCTTCGTTAACACAGAAGTTGTGGGAGGCTCGATGAAGCTTTGCGATACGAGTGCTTCAGGCAAAATCACTTGTTTCGGTGTTTGATTCGAAGCTCTCCTCTTGTACTCTGCTGTGTGTGGAAACATAGCACTTGCAATAGATTCGGACGAGAGCTTTTTTTTCTTTGTATGGAAAACTGATGACAAATATTTGCGATACGCTACTGGTCGACGAAAACGTAGCAAAACAGGTGCTTGCAACTCGGCAATGGCATCAATTACTTCATCTGAAGTAAGGCGCGACATCGATGCACAGCCATTGACAGCCATGATGACGTCGCCAACGTGTATTGTGGGTGCATAACTTTTGGGATCGTACACTTCCACGGATCCATATATTCGTGTAGACGGCGCCAACGCTAAATCTATTGGGCTCACATCAAACGTTACATCAAACTCTCCCTGCTCAGATAATATGGGGTCCGCTACGATCTTGTCGTCTAAATTACACACAAAATTGTCGCTTTCCGGAGTCTCTGCAAGTTTTGTCTTCCCAGCTGAAGATGCTGTATAATTGTTTTCGACATCCATGCTCACCAGCGCTTGCGCCAGCAGTCGAAACTTTTCGCTCGTCGCAGCTACAGCATTTAGCGCCAAATCATGCTCTAATGAACGTTTCCACTGCATCGATGACGCCCTAGCCACTACTTTAATAATAAAACTATCAGGATCATACTCCACTGACGATGGATACATGGCCGTTGACATAGTCTGCGAATCCAGCGATCCATATACTTCTGGGTTTCGCAATGTCATGCTAATTGGACACGAACATTTTTGTAAGTACGCGGCAAGATGCGCGCGTGGCAGATGCGCTTTGCGGCAGCTAAAGTTCACGGCAATTAGCACGTCACCTTTGACGATATCCGTCTTGTTCTCTCCGTCCTTTAGTGTAAGACATTCATCAGTTTTCTCGATATCCTGGACAGAACTCACTTCCCACGATCCATATAACTGTGAGCTAGGTACAAGCCCAACACCGAGTGGCTTGCGATGGAAATATACATTATACTCGCCCTCAAACGTCTTAGGTACGTACGTAGGCTCAATTTCGGTACTTCCTTTGTCCCAGCTACGCACGCATTTCGATTCGTTGTTTTGCGCTTTACGTCGTGGCATGAGTTGCCGCTGTTCATCGAAGATTGCGCGCACGAGGCCACGCACGCTAAACATTGACAATATTTTTTCGTGTCACGATACCGCTGCTTGTCCGTGGTAACCTGCTACTCGAATTATAAAAATCATGAGCGGGAACGTTAGCACCTGAGTGACGGTACTGTTTTCGGGCAGATGCGTCAGTTGAAACGCTGCTAGCTAAAAACTGCTTTGGATATTACCTTATAACCTTTCAAAGAAATGAGACTGTATTTATACCCCGTCATATATGATTACGATATAATACGACAGTAATTTAAAACTATGGTGCTAATAATAGCAGATTTGATCGTCATCAGAATAGTCCCATTCTCTTACACAAGCTATAAGGAAGAAGGTGGTATTTATTGAAGTTTAGTATGATTACACATTGATCGAGGTTAAAAATTTGCATATCTTTTAGCTATTATTTTTGATATTTCAATCTAAGTTGTTTGCAATCTGGTCAACCCATGGACGTCTCATTTACACTGGCTATCGGCGGATTGAGCGTAGACGATTTGCAGAATACGAGAGGATTCATCGGGTTTTAAAGACGATGTAATAGCTTTTGCTATCTGTATTGCCTGAGCAATGCAGTTTCCATGACTTCTGCCACTATCCCTTATATCAATAGTACAAGTACTTTCAACAGCATTGACGAGGTTCCTTTTGAGCTGGCTGAGATTGCAATTCTAAAACTAGATATCACCCTGCACAAAGCAGAGCAAAAACTGTGTCTGCTAATGAGGGAGCCGGTCAAGCAAATTCTTCTACATAATGTATGTCTTGACTAGATTGCATTAAAGGCTTGTGCGTGTCATGGATTTGTAATAGTTATCAGGCACTATGTCAAGCAGAGCTCGTTAATATTTTATGACGCGGTCGGAAAATATGGATGGAATTGAAACACTAAGCTGTTTCAATATGCATTCACGTGTAATTGCCAGCGACCGAATTTCGTGTAGGTGATGAGTGAATAACAGGCTTCTGATCTTGACACCCGAAGTCGTGTCGAATTAGTAAATTAGTAGCAATTTCTTTTATCACTGAGTCCTTGTCAACTTGCTCATTTAGCTGCGCTCAACAGGACCCGAACTGCGTAAATAAAGCAATTTTTTCCGCCGATGGCGAAAGGATCAATTCTTTTACTAGTTTTGAATTGTCCTGCATTCGTTTCTATAATCGTAGCGTCAGAGATCTTGCACTCAGAAAGTTGCTGAAGTGATTTATTTTTGTGAAACGTTGTTATTTTAGCTGCACTGCATCAGTCAATCTTGTCACACGATTAAGTAAGCTATGGCTCACTTGAAGAGTTCGTTATGAAATGTGTAAGCCCTAAATATCTAGCTCAGTTTTAACGTATGAATAGTGCTAGACTAATTGATGCTGAACATTGTTTCTAGAAATGATATAGACACATGGTGAAATTCTCTCTTCACTGTGTCGGCGGGTCTTGATGCAAAATTCTATACAGACTGCTTAAATCGTATCTGTATCCAAACACCAAGCTCGCACACTTAACAAGAGTTTTATTGATCTAACCAAAATGGTAACGCTGGCCTCCCATTCCATTCATGCCACCCATGCCACCCATGCCACCCATGCCGCCCATGCCACCACCGCCTCCAAAGAACATCTACAATATTATAAATTAGTCACAATCGAATGAGATGATGCAGTGATAACAAATCGTGTCGTACCTGGAAAATTTGCGAAGGATCAACGCCATTCATGCCGCCACCCATACCACCTCCACCGTAATCGCTGTCAAGATCTTCAAGATCCACTCCAGAGTCATAACGCTGTCGCTTCTGTGCATCCGACAGCACTGCGTAGGCTTCTCCGAGATCCTTAAAAGCAGCTTCAGCCTCGGCCTTTTGCTCATCCGATTTGCCCGCGTGGCGATCTGGGTGGAACTTAAGAGCTAGCTTCTTGTATGCTTTTTTGATGTCCGCGTCGGTGGCACTCTGCGAGACATTCAATATTTTGTAATAGTCCTTACGCTTGGCTTTTTTAATAGCCAGCTTAGTCTGGCGAATGTTGCTCTGAATATCGCGCTGAGCATCGTCACCGACCAGTTTCGAAGCTTGATCGTAGACACGCAACGCCTGCTCTAAATTATCCAAGCCTCCTAGCGCTTTCAAACAAGCTGCCTTGCGGAGATACGCCTTAGCGTACCCATGATCATAGTATACGGCCTTATCGCAGTCTTTGATAGCTTCTTCGTGTCGATTTAGACGCGATAGTGCATTAGCACGGTTGCAATGAATCTTTGAATTAAACGACTTGTTTTTTGGATCGATCGTCAAACATTTAGTATACAATTCAACAGCCTCGGTCATTTTACCCGACTTGAATGCATTATTGGCCTCCTCTTTGCTGGTCTCCAATTGGCGAATACGTTTTATTTCCTTCATACACTTAGAATTGTCTGGATCCGAGCGCAAAGCTTGTTGCAAGTGCTTAATCGCGCTGGCAAATTCACCTTGGTAATACAAACAGAGGGCACGCAGATAGAGAAGCTCGGGACTGCCTGAATTTGTACGCATGAGCTGCGTTAATACAGCGAAAGCCTCGTCGTATCGCTCACAACCAATGAGCGCTTCTGCACGCAGTAACTTTAATTGACTCGAACCCGAGCACACTTGCGCCGCACCGTCTAAAACACTCACTGCCTGGGAGAATCGTCCCTAATCAAAGTCATTATAAAAAAGTGCTGTAAGTGAAACAACACAAGAGATTCAATGCACTGAACACATAGCCACGTACTGCTGCGATATAGTCCTTGCCACGCTGTAGTTTGTCAAGCGCCATTTCAAGCGTACGCTTTTCATTGATTAAAGTCGCGTTATTTGGGTCACGCATTAACCCTGTCTGATACGTCTTCATGGCTGCTTCATTATCGCCCTTCATGAATACAACATCTTCATCAAAACCAATTTCCACCTAATTTCAATCTCCATGGGTCGATTCGTACCAGTGCAAGCTGTGCCTTGGCTTTACGTACATAGCCTTTGATATAAAGTGGATCAAAGACAATGGCACGATTGCAGTCTGTCACAACGTCTTTGTGCTTGCCTAGCATAAAGGAAGCAGCGGCGCGGTTGCCATAGTAGGCTACGACGGTAGGGGCGGCATCGATAGCCTGTGTATACTTGTCGATGGCGCGCTGATAATCGCCACGCTTGTACAGCTCATTACCTTGTGCCTTAAACTCTTCTGCAACAGAGTCTGTCATGCTACCTGCTCAGTCTATACCTATCTCTGACGCCAGCGCCCCAGTCAAACAAATGTTCACTTCAAATGTGGCTTTAAGAAGGCACCACAGATTGAAAGTTTTCTCGAACATTCGAGCATACTCAACTCAAGTCAAGTACTCTTTTTAGCGTGATCCACATGAACGTAAGTTAAATACGACGATAGGAAAAGTTACGAGTTATGAACGTCAAATACAGAAACGTCCTCATCGACCTCCTCGCAGCTTTCGTTCCCCATGTTTCGGGCTCTTTCAGTGTGTTCGAGTTCATCTGCAAGCATTCTTGCAGCGGCAATAAGACTGCGAACACCAGGACGTCTATTGGCAAATGAAAAGGATGAAAGATGATGATCATAGTTGCCATCCTCGTCATCTTCAGCGAAACTTGTCAATGCTTTCATGGCACTACTTCGCTCAGGGTCGTCACCTGTTTCACCATTTCTACCTAACTCGACGTCATGAATGATAGCAGACAGTAATCGTTTTCGAGAAAAGTGCGTTTTCACTTGTCGGCTTTTTGTTGTGCGCTCAAAATCTTCGGCATTGACACAGCTTAGCGAGGATCTATGTGTGGCATTTTCAGCATTTCGAATGACAATCATATCGGCATTGCTCCATATACGAGCTTGGTCTTTGTGTTCTGGGTTAAGAATTGTCTCTTCACCATCACGAATTTGGTAGCCACATAAAATGTCACCTCGCGTCATTGCCCGTTTAGCCAATTGCCAAAACGATACTTTCTCAATTACTTCACAGTATCGAGTTGAAGGCTCGACTTCGAAAGAAGCACCATGAGGGCCAAGCAACTCATCGAGTATCACACGGACGTCTCGACTTTCAGATATCATAGCCAAGATACAGCTCACGAGCTCATTAGATTGAATAAATTCGGAAAGTTTTAAAATGGTAGCACTTGTGGATATTGTTCTCTGTGTCCGCGGATCAAGAATTTCGCTAATACATTTACAAAAATTTGGCTTTACTTCTGGTCCGCTGACACTTTTCAAGCTACGAGTTTGCAAGTCTCGAATAAGGAGCAAAGAAGCCAGTGAATGCGAGTCGGAATGCATTATGTCCGTTTCGCGTGACTGATCGGACAATATCATAATTGAAGTGAAAGAGCTCCATGGAAGTTTTTCCAGCTGTCGACGGATTGCCGTATTGCCCAAATGGTGAACGAGTCGTATGTTCTTAAGCGCGCGAGTATCCAAGCCACTCTCAAGCAGGCTTTTGTTTCGTGATGCGATTGGTTCTTCACATATCATGTGTACATCAGTTCCAGGCCGTACAATTGCATCAAGTAGTTGAATCATGTCTCGAATATCTCTGCGCCACCCGCACATTAAAATTCGCTCTTGGCTGAACATTTTTATTGGAGGCACTGGAACTCTTCCCACCTCGATTTGAACTGGGGGACACGCCTTATATGTATCATCATCTTCAGCCAAAACCAAAATCTCGTCCCCTTCCTCAACAGCCATGTCTGTTTCCGGACAAATAAATACCTCACCATTCTTTCTCTTGATGCCTACTGGGATTGCGTCAGGAAAACGCTCTGCAAGACCACTAAATAAAACACCAACACATTCAGGCCATGCTTTGAAGTAGAATTCGTTTCCTTCGAAGCCAAGAAGGGCGGAGTACACTCGAGCTAGACCAGGAGATCGAGCAGACATGAGAACCAAGCGGCCAATAACGTCATGCGATACAAGGATCTCGACATCGTTTCCTCCAACAAGTCGTAGTAGCGGATCGTTGTCGATGTCTCGCAACTCTGCCACAATGTGACCTGAAAGCTCAGGTAATGTCTTGAGACTTAATACAGTGCGCAGGATCGCCGCATCGGATCGGTCCGCTTCTCCTGATGAAGTTGCCATGATAATGATACTCTTAGCACGATGAGCTGAAACTTTCAGAAGGTCGACCGACAGTAGCGGTGTTCCAGTTCGAAAAATGACGCGGGTACCCAGAAGTTCGTTTGCACGCAACTGTGATTCCAGCTCAGCCTCTAACTCCTCTTTTTCAATTTCAGCGAGTACGACTATTACTCCACCCTTATTGCTTGCATTGGCTAAACAAATTTGACGAATTAAAGAGATCGATTTGTCGGACCATCCGAGCAAAAGCTGCAGAAAGTAGAAAGAGGGTTATAAAGAATTGTACTGACAAAGAAGCCATGAACTGCCTCACTTACTGTATGATTCTGCTCCGCAACTTTCGATTTACCTTTTTTCAGCATATCCATCTTCGCTCGAATGCCATCTACGACGAAACCCATGATCACAGAAAAATACAAGATGCCAGTAAGGGTCATTGTTACGCCCACAACGCGCAAGCCCTGCACTCATTAAAAATATCAAAAGAGATCGAATCAGTTTAGTCAATGATTTTGAAACGGATGATAAAAGCTAGTGCATTTCATACTTCATCCACCAAACTAGTGTGCGAACCCGCGTCCGCTAAATACGTCCACGCCTCCCATATCGTTTCCCTTAATGCAGTCGATGGTCTAACTGCTTTGAGAAAAAAACCTCCAAACGTCATTAACACCAAGCCGAGAATCGTCAACGACGCCGTTTGTCCTCTTCGAGTTGAAATGTATTGGTCAATTCGATACTCTATCCACTCAACTGTTGTTATTCGCTTGGCTGGTGCCTTAATTTCAGCTATAGAGCGGTTCTTCTTGGCTAGCATTTCAGCTTTACTGGTCGCCATCCTTACAAACTTCGGTTTCTTGGTTTTCTGAATTGACTTCGGTGATACTGTTTCTCTAAACGAAAGCGCACTCTTAAGTGGTGACGCGATCTCGAGTCCAGGTGATGCATCGGCTATGTCATCTTCGAGGCCTGGAATAATTTTCTGTGAGCTCATCGTTTCATGGATAGAGAAATATTATCAAACCCGTAATGAGCGCCGCAAGCGACTTTTGACGCTAACCGCATAATTAGTATCACTTCGTACAGAAATTGTATTGTTATCATGGACCCAAATTAATGCTGCCTACACTTAAGTGCAAAAAAGACACGCTACCCGTACAAAATACTACTATTTTGTAGTATTTTTGTACGTGCACGTTGCACTTTCGTGTGATTGCGCAAAACGCTGTTGCTATTACCACAACTCAGAAACTACAAACGATTGATACTGATGAGGTCGATAGTACTCTGGTCCGTTGAATATGTGGTCTTTCAGCCGCATGACAGGCAGTATAAACAGTAAATTTATGAATAGAGTTGTCGTTCTCGGTTCGTTAGAAAGCCTCCACTGTGCAGGTTGCACTAAGTAGCATTTGTAGTCCATCCGACAGCAAGTCTAATCAGCCTGTATCCTCTGTGAAGATAGAACAAGAACTCGGCTACCTGTCTTCGGGATATTTATGCATTCTTGATTAGTTTTTTACCGTTTGTCTTGAATGCTTCATGGAAATGGCGAGAGTGCATGAAACGGTAATCGCTTGCCAGGAGGTGTTTACCTGCTGTTAGAAAGCGCTCGTGAGACGCTTTTAGAAATGCCCCAGCTAGGCGTCGGTGAGAAGACAGATGCAACGAGGCTACCGTAGCTCTTTGCTTAGAGGAAGCTAAACAAGGTCACCGACCTTACGCTCTTTCCAAAAACCAGTACGAGTGCCGCGGATCGCTATCCGCTACCTCCAAGTACTAAGATCTTAAGCAAGGCAAACCAACACCTCTGTTTAAAATAGAGACTGTATTTAGTTATTGAGTTGCGGCAGATCTAAAACGCTAGGCTCTCCAAATTGATATCGTAATACCTAATTAATATGGCAACATTTAATTAATACAGTAATATGAATTACTACCGGCAATCCTGTCACGTGGTGGCTTCTTGTTACGGTGTAGCCACACCGCTGTGTGATTACACAATTACACACAAGGGTACGTGCAACCCCGTTACATTCTCCCCCATAAAAATTGTGAATACCCTCAATCTACATTTAACGGTCGCCTCATACGAGGCTCACGTGTCAGAGAAACCTTAACGTTCTTTAAGAAAAACTTTCAACCTTCTCCACTCTATGGGCTCTGCGTCTACAGCATGCAAAACACCCAACCTAGCTGGTAGAGAGGGCGCCCGCGGGCAAAGCGCTTCCTCTTCTTCTGCACAGGGTGCATCTTCGGACAGTAAGTCCGCGGCTTCACGGGACACACATCCCAAGCCCTCGGCAACTGAGCACAACACACCGCGCCCGTCCCGGGCGACGGAATTCCTCGTCGAGGAGTTGGAGGGAGTCGGCTACGAGTCGGATATTCTTTTCCCAGTATGGAAAGACGAGGAGGATGAGGCGCGCCAACGGGGCGACATGAGCCCAGCTCAAACCTTGCGGACACCGTCACCGTTTTTTAGACCTCTCATACGTAGACGCATAACGATAGCGTGATCGCGTCTTTCGTTTCAGAAGCGGGATCCGCCAAGCGGCCCGTATTCCACACAAGGATCTAAGACCGAACGTGGATACGAGCGCATGGGAGCCGCCCTGTGAGCAGCCTCCAGTTGCTGCTCTGCGCCTCGTCGAGGCGATTGGTAATAATGTCACTTCCCCCGGAAGCGTCGGGCCTCCGGCCACTACACAAGCTGAGCTTGATCAGCGGAAAGCTTTGCGAGTTCGCTTTTTGGTACACCAAAAGATCCCAACAGAGTGGTACCCCGCTCGACTTCGAGCCCAGAAAGGAGGTGCTTCTATTCCCGCATTGCGGACAATCCCTGTGGTGCTTACCCCTGACGAAACCGCTGCAGATGATGATGAGATCTTTGAGCGAAGGGTACAGCGGCATCGGAAACTTTCTTCGCTGTCTACCGTACAGCGAAGCCGCAAGGAAGTGAATGTGCGCATAGAGCGCCAACTTCTTGCGACTTGTCGCCCTGCGACAAATGGTATCATCCATAACGCACCCGCGAGCTCTGTGGTTTCTCACACGAGGAATTCTACGACCACAGCAGCTCAGGGCCATAGCTTGAGCTCAGCTGATGGCCCTTCGACTTCCCGGACTACTGCCAAGAAGCGCGGGGCGTGAGATGACGCGAAGCGGTATGATCCTTCCGATCATAAGCGTCCACGAAGTCTGGGCATTTTTGCAAAAAGGCACCTCAAACTCCCACGAGTACTCGTATTTGGTATCCTTGCCACTTTACAAGATACTGGGTTAAACCCCGTCGACGACGTCGACCCACAAGGCGTTCTACGTGGTAGTGGACGCCATCATTCTCATCGAGAAGAGTCGGCGGCGGGTGATGATGACTTGGTCGATCGCCGTTCGGTGACTCGCGGTCCTCTTCGATCCTTAGAGGACAAAGTCCGTCGTCATCAAAACTTCGTCGAGCATCTTGCCGAGGTCGCATATCATTGTGCGGATGACCTTCAGATCTTGAAGCACTTTGTGCACCGACTGCCTCACATTGAGAGTTATCGTGCTCTGTCGGAGCGGCTCCTAGCGTCGAGCAGACGAATACGTCACTTCGTACTACGGTAGAGCGCCTTGCGCCGTTGGAAACGGGAATTGTTGCACTTCGCTCTCAGAACCATTTGCTGGTTTAACTTCTGGGTGGCCGAGCGCATTTTGGCGCTGCTCCGACGCCAACGCTTCCGCGTTCGCTCACGCTGGACCCCGTTACGGTCTAGGCAAGCCCACATAAAACACTGGGTGGGTGCGCATCCTTCTCGGAAGGTTCAGCGTATACGCAAGGCCTCGCTTGTCCAGGGCCCTATAATGTACAAAAATCGTGGATGGAGCTTTGTCTTAAAAACAGCAGAAACTTCATGTTTAGGAAGGTTTTCAGCTTTTAATGGAACTAGGTCTCCGACCTCAATGGTTTTAACATTTCCCTTCCTCTTTTGTCTGCAAATCCTTCTGCATTTCTTGGCTTCAGCCATTGCATCGCGAACTGTCGTAAGACACTCAGTCTGGCAGACAGGAAGTCTCCGACTTCTTTCGGCACGGTGAGGGGGCAGACATCAGCTAGTCGCTTGGCTATTCGTCTCCCACCAAGCCCTGAGCCATGGGATGGCGACGTCAGCGGGTCGCCAGGAGTAACAAGCCCCGTTCACGTAGAATGGCGTGTAGCCGGTAGATGCATGCACTACAATGTTTAGAGAAAAGTGTACGAGTGACTGCATGGCGATCCAGCGCTTCGGCGTCTCAGTGCAGATGCTGCGAAGAACGTCTTTAACGACGCGATTCACGCGCTCAGTATGACCATCGGTCTGCCGATGGTCCACTGTTGACATATGCCCAGCACCCTAAATATTGTAGACCATAACTTCCCATTGAAGCGCGGGTATCTATCAGAGGCAATGGACCCCAGGAGTCTATGTTGTCGAAAGACACGATCGACAAACAGCATCGCTGTGCCCACACTGTCGATGGAGTCCAGCACTGCCGCAAGATGAGCCATCTTGCTCAAACGGTCCACAAAGATTACCACACCCGTGTCGCCCGCCGAGTCTTTCGACAGGCCAAACACAAAGTCCATACTCATGGACTGCCAAATCCGGAGGGTGCCGGTAAATCGGCCAGTGGCGTTGCCGCTTCGGAGAGGGTTTCACCTTCTGACACGGATCACACGTGCACATATATGTGCTTATCCACTTGTACGGCTAGGGCCACAAGTAGTGGCAACTCACCCTATACGTCTTCTCACGACCAAGATGACCTGTCGAGAGCCTCATAGTGGATAAGGTATTTCGATTCCCCATCATGAGGAACCACAATTTGTGGTGTATTCGTCTAATCTATAATACAGCAACCCGTTACCTGACAAATATCGGTGTAACCGTACGCGCAAACGCACCGACAGCTTTTTGTCCGAGTTTACATACTCCTTGCCCCTGACAGCCTGTAGCAGCGCAACACACATACTGTCACCCGCGTATGCGGCGCGGATCAAATCCGTCACTGACGACGTCACCGTCGTGACATGAGCATGCTCGTAGTTCAATCTGCGTGACAACGCATCAGCCAAAACATTCTTTAGATTCTGCAACGAATGAGAGCAACCTAGCCAGCCTCTGGAAGAGGTGAGGCGACTGCGTAAGGTCGCATGATCTGTGTAGATCACAAACGGCTTTGAGCCAAGCAGGTGCACCCTGAATTTGACAAGTACATACTTTATCGCAAGAAATTACTTGTCATGGACTGGGTAGTTCCTCTGCGCAGCCTTAAGCTGGCGAGATTCGAACTTGATCACCCGATCTCGACCCTCGGCGTCTGCTAGCAGCAGTGCACAGCCGATGGCAAAGTCCGAAGCGTCACAGACGGCACTACAAGGACGATCGGGGTCCGGCAACGCCAGTATTTATGTAAGAGGCTGTCTTTGACTCTGTCAAAAGCCTCTCGATGCTCGGTGTCCCAACACCTTTACACATCCTTCTTTCGGACATTCAGCAATGGCAGTGTCAATTCCGCCTAAATAACGCTTTATTTGTGCAAAAGTGGGCGAGGCCAAGCCATTCGCGCCAGTCCTTTTGGTTCTTTGGGACCGGCCAGTCCACAAAAACCTTGACCTTAGCGGGATCCTCTCGAAGGCAACGCTTCCCAATGAAGCACCCTATAAAGAGTATTTTTCAGCGCCGACCATCTGCATTGGCAAACAGCACATTCGTGCGCGTGCACTCGAGCACCGCTATAATATGTACGATATGGTTATCCTCATTGTCCTTCCGTGCCCCGCACGACTGTGGAACGAAGATGTCGTCGAAGTATGTTTGTGTATACGCCTGGTGGGGCCTGAACAACTGCGTCACAAGACGAATGAATGTTGCTGGAGCATTTGACAGCCCTTGGGGTATCACTGCTTGGCGGCCTTTCTATTATTCTCACGGGATGAGTCGTTGTCTCTGATCTCAGTATTCTTCATACTACCGTCGATCATGACTTCCATGTCGATAGCAAAGGAGACAGTAATTTTTGATTCCTGACTGCTCCACCTCCAGTTGTGTCTTTACTTTCGTCTTCTTGGGCTTGTTCTGTGGACATGGAGAGCAATCATACACCACGATATCACTTGGTTACACCAGTGTCAATTAAAGCTCGAAGTGGTTTATCAAAATCATCTGCAAAAACGTTTTGGACAATCAAATGCACATTTTGCCTGACACTCCCATCACTCATAGTGGAAACTGCATGTGCATCATGCTTGGGGCCAAAGTTATGTGCATCCACAGCGTCCACTGTACTCTTCTTGGACCCAGTAGGGCGCCCCGCCTCTACTGGTTGCTCCCGTTTTTTACCTTTGGGAGTGTTCAAATCGATGACCTTTATACCGTCCGTGGTTATTTGAATGAGCACTCTGTGTCTGTTGCCGACTCGGCAGTTCTGGGCAATATGACCCTAGACTATATCCGGTGTGCGTTGGATGCGGAATCCTCTGACACCATATAGCTGTTTTTGAGAATAACCAAACTATAAAAATCCTTAAATTTTAAAAAGCCCTAACAAATCCCTTGCTGACTACAATACGTCTCTACCACAATCCCATTTGAAACGGAGAACAGAATCAAATTGCCTAAAGCAGCTTTTCTATGGTACGTAGTTCTCCTACTGCACCGACACCTGACACGAGAACCAGTAACACCAAAATTCTTCTACTCTCCACCGGGCCTGACACAGGAGAGAAGAGAGCACAGATGCTCGTTACTATCCTATCAGAGATTCACTCTGGACACCACGGCATACAATCGTTCTTTTCATTACAAACACTGAACCACTTTGCTCCCCGTAGGCACCTCCAGTTCCGTCGCGTTCATTTTTGGACAGTCTTATATACTCCACGAAAATTAATGCGATTTGCGCTAATGCCTCACCCGATTCTGCTTCTTGGCGGGACATTATCTCGTATTAGAACGAATCGAGGTACGATCAAATATGGCGACCGGAACGCCACGATCCGTGGGTCAACTAAATCTCAAAAATGTTTGGTGCCGCGAATTTGTCCCTGGTGGAGCACTAACCAGTCATAATTTAACGTCACGCTGCCAATCGCCTCAAACATTGCGTAAACATTCGACGCACTCGTCGGGAATTGACAAGTGTTCACATCGCAAAACGTGCGAATATCAATTTCGCATATGACCTCCGTGTATTGTCGACCGTATGTATAGTGGGGGCTCATACATAATTGCACACTTATTTTAAATCTATCAGGGCTTTCTACAGACTCCGCGACGCGGATGTTAACTACTATTATTCTGGCCCTGAGCCCCAACTTTCATAGAGGTCGTTGCTCCGATTTTGAGCATATTCCATTTCACTAAATTAGTGGGCGGCCTAACGTTTCCGCTGAAGAAGTCAACGTCCGCCCTTGCATGAAAGACAACACTTCGTATCTTTTAGCCAAGAGAAATGGAGGCAGCCAAGGCACAGATATTTTGCATCACCACAAATGAGATATCTGCTAAAATCGCAGAGCTACTCAGCATGGCTAATGCCCATCAGCTCAGGTGCGCTTGAAAAGCTTACAATTTCAGCAACCCATCTTGCTATTGCAAAACAAACATTGGAATCTGCGTTGAATGCGACACACACCACGTTCGTAGAGATCTCGGTATGAATCGCACCCGTTCAGAGATCCTCTATGAAAATGGAAATCGTTGCCGCTTTTAGGAGAGGATCAGACAACATCCCAGCGAATAGATTTCTATCTTGTGAACATAGTCCGCCGGCATTCTTCTATCTGGACGGGTAGACAATTACATTGAACGCCATAAGTCGCCTGGTTAGGCGGTGCGTACGTCCGCGACATATATCGCTTTAAAACGTTTAAGCTGGAAACACCCCATTTGCCCAAATACAATGTATGACGATCTAATCTCGCTCATGGCACTTCAAAGGCTTGTCCAGATCAAAGTTTATAGCTATCAACGATATTCAAAGTAAGATACTCTTGCCATCTCGCCTAACATAGACCAGAACGCTCTACATCAGCTGCCTAACAGTGATAGACATCTGTTTCTCTAGCAACTCCTTGTTGAGGCGTTTGCTATCTTGCATTTTCAAAGTTGGTAAGTGCTTAGGGGCAAGCGATTACCGGATAAAGCCTTATGATAGCCAGTCCCCTGATTTCATTGGATCTAAGATAGACAGTATCTTGTCAAGTCTGCCTGATGTTTTCGATAGCAGGTTATACATTTCAGTTTCCATTCTTGCAGAATTTACAGTCTTTTCACGTCCGCGTCGTGGAACTAACTACAAGTACCACCAAACACAATAGAGCTGCTATGCAGGGAAGCGTCGTCTCTCGGTGTCTGCTTAAAAACATGTTTAATGCGCATTTATCAGGAACGAAATCGAGTACTTCTGGTTAACTTACACAGTTAGTTTGCTCTTCTTGGTTCAAAAACATAAATCTTGAAGTTATTAGTATCTGGGGCCATCCTTACATACACTCGTTCCCTGAACTTAAATTTTTGAATTTTTTATGATGTTGACGTGCGGGCATTCCAAACACATCTTGGACTTCCCTTCTTCAGCATTAATCATTCTTCTCGATATAGACACTCACAGTTACATCAAGTCCAAAGTGACATCGTATTTTTTTCGAATTATATCGAATACAATTGAGCCAACGGTGTGAGGGGTAAGTACACCTGATAAAAGTAATAATCCTGAACCCACTGCCTGTCAGTTAGTTGATGCAGACTCGTCTAGAGGAAAAATATTCGCTGCAAGGTAAATGGCTGGCTTTTGGGACTGAGTAGCACTCACCGTCATTTTGACGACCAGGTCTGAAAAATATCAGAATTTCTGTGAGCATGGAGCTCTTCCATTCGAAGATAAACATTTACATACTACGGGAGTCACTACTTCATGTGTCGTTCAAGCCCCTATCGTACCAGGGATATGAGAGCCAATAGCCAGAGTTTCACGGTCTTAGCGCTCGTTTGGCATTCTTCGTTCCTACAAGAAGATTTACCAAATGTGTCAACAGCCAACATTCCATAAACATTTTTATTTCTAACTCTGTGTCGTTACGAATACACCAGCTACAGCTCTTGCCATACTTGACATTCTCGACACATGAATGATTTCCAGCAAAAGTCAAATATTTGTGCATTATCTGTCTACACTTTCCTCTCAATGCTTAGATATAGCACTCATGCGTGTCGGTGGTGTCAAACATGAATACGCGTCGTTTTTTTTCTCATAGCAATTTGACTGTCAGAAAATGGAAGAAATTTCCAGATCGTCCTTCTGTCGGAACCGACAAAAGGTAGCGCGCCAAATGATACTTTGTGCCTTGTTGCAGCTGGGCTGCCGTAGCAAAAAGCTTGAATAAGCGTACTGTAGGTCACCAACCTTTCGTGCTTTACAAAAACCAAGTATGAGTTAGCGGATCGCAATCCACTTACTCCAAGAGTGATTATTGCCTTCCCTAGGCTAATCGACATTTTCGGTTTAAATTCTAAACTGATTTTTTTACATTTTTATCCTAATGTTAAAAGGTGAGCGTTTCCTAAATATGCTAAATATATATAGTAAATCTTAATACACGCATAACTACTGGCTTCCTAGTCACATACCGTATTCTTGTTTGGGTGCAGTCACACCATGTACATCTCGTGCGACACCCACCCTGTTACCAGGGTACGTGAAACTCCGTTACACCGTCCCCCATTAAGATTGAAATCATTTACAGTTCCAATTGATTATTGTTTCAACGAGGCTCGCGTGTCCGCTAGACACTGCAACTGAAATGGAATAAAACGACTTCCTTGATCAAAGCCCCGTGTCGTTGCCCTGTGTCAACGACACGGAGGTAACCAAGTCTCGCTGGTTCTGACAGCGAACACGGCCAGAGCCCAACTTCGTCTCCGCACGGCGTCCGCAGCACCGGGGGATGTAAATCCTAGGCTCAATGAGCACGAGCGTCGCGTTTTGCGCACGCTATCAATGACGATTGACCTCGTTGAGGATGTGGAGGTGGTCGACTACGAGTCGGACACCCCTTTACCCGCATGGGATGACGAGGAAGGCGAGCTGCGCCAGCGGTGTGATACGAGCCCTGCTCATGCCGTGTGGACCCCATGTTCGTTCCCTGACTTCTCGTCAACCAAAAAACGTGGCGTAATCACCAATGACCTCGACGTGACTCAA